ATAGTGGGCATATCATTAAGCCACACACTTTGGAGAGCTGGAGCTAAGACCACCTTGCTAACTAACTCTAGCTACCTACTGACCTCAAGAGAGTACTTTAGGAAACAAATGTGATGTGTATTAGTTACTGAGGTTTGCTTTGCCTCATTTGGCAAAGGATCTGGGACAGAATAAACTTGTGTTATTTTTCTAACAGCAGTTTTGTTTTCACTCTATTACTGAGTAACGGAAACAGAGACACTCCAAGACCACTGGTGTCTCCTCTAAGAGAGATTAATTTCCGACTGTGTGTGTGTGTTTAATTCTTTCTCTTACCACCTTTACCCCCGCCCCATGCTACATTTTACAAGATCCAATGCCTTAAAATGACTTTCAAATTCCTCCCCAATCTGTTCACAATAAAATTTTCGACTTTATTGAAGTGCTCCCACCTCAAGTCTTCTGCTATTTCCAGACGCTTCTGCGTGTTGCCCTCCTAGGAAGCCGTCCTCCAGCCTCACATCACACCTTCACCCTAGCAGTTCTCCCTCAGAATGCTCTCCTACCCTCACCTGTAAAATCCTACCCATATTTCAAGGACAAATCAAATTTCTCCTAATCCATTAAGCCTTCTCCAGTCACCAACACCACACAACTTCTCCCTACTGTAAATCTGTAAACTAGCACCTGCTTGATCATTCACGAGACACCCACCTATGTTCTCTGCTCTGTCACCTCCGGTTTTTCTTGCCTCCTTCCCTGAGTCCTATACTCCTTAAGGGTGTATCTTTGAATCCTCCCCAACATTTGAACTGAGTATGTAGGAACCCTCAAAATGTTTCGGGACCATACTTCACATTTCTAATGCATTTCGGTGATGTATGGAAACTATTACATTATTAAATATCAAATTTACTTTATAAGTCCGATATTCTGCAGTGCAATTCCTTTATAGGTATAACTCTACAAGTCTAAAAGCTATAGTATGCCAAGCTATTAAATATCAAATTTACTTTATAAGTCCGATATTCTGCAGTGCAATTCCTTTATAGGTATAACTCTACAAGTCTAAAAGCTATAGTATGCCAAGAGTCCTTTTCTGACATTCAAGGAATTATCTGCTAAAAGAATTTATCAAAGTAGAAAAACACTTAAAAATCAGTCCTTAAAGATCCCTTTCATGTCAGCAGGAAATAAAAAATTAAAACCTAAATACTAAGCCTAAGTTCACATTTCTCATTATTTCAAACACATTCTTTCTGACTTGAAGCTCACTTTTTTCTTCTAAATAGGCATGGAGATTGATAAACTCTTCTCCATCTTTTAAACTGCAAAATGAAAATCTAGGTTCCATTTCTGAAAGAAAAGATGATGGGATACACACAGAAAGAGATGATGCTATGTGTAGATCACAGAAAACGGCTGAATTGAATCAACGGAAATGTAAGCTACTGAAAATAAAACACCATTTGCCAAATGCATTAGCCAGGCCCAAAAGCCAGTCAGCACTGTCAAAAGGATGCTCCTCTGCATCTTCAGGCCTTCCCCCAGATCAGTCAGAGTGTCCTCAACTGTTAGGCTGGTCATAACCTAACAGCTAAGCACCACTATTAGCACAGTGAAAAGGTGCCAGAAGCAGTACAAAGGTCCCCCCTCCATCCCCATGTTCACGATTCCTGAAAAATTATACTTAATTTTAAAGTACAAAGACAAAAGGCAAGGCAGCCAGTAAATTAACAATTATGAATTGTTTTCTGTTTTAACAGCTACCAATACCATTCAGCTTTATGCTACAGAAATCCTAATGGTTTATTTAGAATACAATGTATTATGCAAAAGAATCTTCACTGTGCAAAAGACGCACAAAGATTTCCTTTAATAAACTCCCTACTTAATTTTTAATACAGTACGATTTACAAAATTTCGATTTACTTAAAACCTTCAGTAACTCTGCTATGGCATAAAGGGATTTTACCTGTTTTCTCCCATCAAAGAGGTAAATTTGCCATTTAAAATATTTTTCCAAAGGTCACCTTGAACTACAAAAAAACAAAACCAAACAAACAAACCCCTGATATTCATCATCTCTGTAAATGTATCTAAATTAGAAGCAAATAAATCAGCCATGTTACCCAGCACAAAGCTATTGAAGATTGTTAAGATTTATTTTCAGGTGCCAGTGAGACTAAACAAAGATGTAAGGAATGAAACAAAAAGAAGGAAACTCAGGGAACAAATTAATCCATTGAACCATTATCTTAACAGCAGCATTCCCTATAGAACAAAGTGATGAAACTATCAAAAAGCCCTTTTCAAAGGAACAACATTTCTGAATGTCAAAAAAAAGAATTAACTTAGAATAAATACATAAGTAACAGTATGTTCTATGTTAAGCCAGTAACAAAGGAATCCCTTTAGTGCAGTAAAACAAAGTCCTGTCAAATCCCCATTTTTTACAGAGAAGCATGAAGATCCTTTCACAATGCTTCAAACTGTATTTATAGTAACAGAGTGAAGACTTGAGATAAAAGTCAAAAGGATTAAAGTCAAAGCCCCAGCTCCACATGAGTTATGGTTTTGATTTTTATTCTTATTGTGGACTACAAATATTACGACAGAAGATACTTCCATGCGATGTGGGACCCTCTGAGACTCTATAACCTTAGGAGAGCAGAGAAAACAGATGAAAATGTGTCTGGTTTGGGAGCAGCCTCCCTGTGAAACGGCAGAGCGCAGGGTAGCAAGCACAGCTGCTAGGGCGCGGGGGGATGGGGTGGGGGGGGCGGGGAGGGAGCAGAAGGCTGACATTTCTGCAACTCAGGAGGGCAGAAAGCAAAGAAGAAAAGAAAGATGTGCTATCACTGTTTTAAAATGGCAGCCTGTTAATAATGACTGCATTCCTGAAAATACAGGGAAATTATACCACCATTCTTTCTTTCCTAAGCTAGACACCACACACACTTCTGTTAGAAAACCTACCGAGCTTGTTAGCTGCATCTCTATGTAAAACAAAACCCCTGGAGCTGCCACTCAGAGTTTACAGACTGAGGGACCATATACTTCCCTCACAAAGAAAGAAAACAAAAATCCTGTGGCTGGCTTGAAGTTCCTAGTTTCTCTATAAAGAATTGCTCTTCTGCCTATGTATTTTTCTCAAAAGTGAATGTAAAGCTCCATTTAAATATAAGCTTTTAGTCACAGTTCAAAAAATGTATTTTGCATTTTCTCTTCCCGATACCCTCTCATTCAATACCATAACACACACATTCCAGTAGGTGGTATGTTGATATTCTTACACTGTGTTAACTGGAAGGGCAGTCCTCACGCTAATTTGGATACTCTCTTCTTTAGTTCATTTATTGCAAGAACTACATACTGAGTTGCATACTTCCCATCCTTCCTTAGTCCTTAGTTTTAAAATAAGGCCTCTAGTTTAACATTTGATGGAGAAAAGGCTAAAAGTCTTTAACAATCACAGCAAAGTCAGCATGGCAGTGTGAAATATGTAACGCCAATATTGATATCACGGAAGTGCTAACAATAAAGGCAGCCTTTTTTATTGGGTGTAAAGCAATACTAGCAGTTATAAAAGTAAAACTGTTTTTCATGCAAGTTTTGGAAGAGAGTTTAAGTCTAGATGCGTTCATCTAATAAAAGATTTTTAAAAGTCACTATTACCCGAATTAATCTACTTCTTTTTATCTACAAAATAAAGAACTATCATAAATCGCTATTACAAATCACAAACTTCTGAGAAAGCTATTTCCAGTGCAATTACTTGCTATTTCGTTCAGTATTTTATTTCAACTGTCACATTTTGAATACATTTGTACACACTACCAGAGGAGAAGTAAGTTGAACCAAATTGAAAAATTACCATAACTACTAGCTCAATATGTCTGGTTAAAATAGAGACATCTGGTCTATCATTAATTCTTTTGTGTGGCTGACTCCTAGTGTATCTTTTCCCATCAATGAACTTTGCAAGAGGAAAATGCAACTTTGAACAAAAAAGTGACTCAGAAATCTATGTCAAGATTTATCAATATATATATATCATGATTAGATCAAATAAAGCACAATACTTCCAGGAGAAGTAACATACAGTTAAATGCAAATGATTAGCTCATAAGTTCCATCAGAATACTGATATTTATTAAATAATTATCTGCAGGCAGATACGACAGATAATGCGTGAATCATTATTTTCAAATATTTATAAATCAAGTCATTGTTCACTTGGTTAACATACATGCACTGACTTGCTTGCCACTCCAAGACCCCGAATAATGTGTCTCCGGGCGCCGCGCACAATCCCGAATTAACGCCGAGCGAACAATGAGCGAGTCCTGCGCTCCAGCGAGCGGGGTGCCCGGCAGCCCGGCGGCCGAGCACTTGCTGCTCACTTTCTGCACGGCGCTCCGAACGCGGCTCCTCCCCCGCACGCGCCCCGCGGGATCGCCTGTCACCTGCCCGGCGGCCCCTGCGACCCCGCAGCCGGCTCCGCCGTGCTCAGGGCGCGAACCGTCGACGTCGGGAAGGGGCCCGGGCGCCCCGCCCCAGGAACAGGCTGCGGCTACAGGAACCTGCGCCGGTGGGCGGCAGCCCTCGCGGGGGCCCAGGGACGACCCCTGGGGCGCCTCCGCGGAGCTCGGACGCCCGCGCCAAGCACCCTCGTCCTGCACGCGGGGCGCGCGGCGGCCCCTCACGCGGGACCGCGGCTGTCGGAGCGGGGCCGTCTCTCCGGCGCCCCCGGCGGACCCCGGCCGTTCCCTCCGACCGGGTGCAGGCGCCCTCTGGGGAGCGAGCAGAGCCCCGCTCGGGCCCCTCCGCCGCGCCTCGCGCCCCGCACCACCGCCCGCGCGCCGCACACGTGCGCCGAGCTGCCCGACGCGGCCGCCGGCGCGGCGCACGGACACGCGGGGCGCGCGAGCGAGCGGCGCGGGCTCCTGCCGACGTCCCGGGAGCGGGGCTGGGCGCGGCCGGCCGCCGCGGAACAAAGCGCGGCGCGGCGCACGTACCAGGCGGGCAGCCTCGGCCCAGGTGCGGTCCTTCTTCTTCCTCTTGTCTTTCATGTTCGCGTCGCATGGGTGCTGCTGTGCGGACGCGGTGCTACGCTGTCGGCTCGGCGCCGGGACCGCGACCCGTGACCCGAGGGCCCGCACGCGCCGGGGGGCGGGCGGCGGCCGGGGCGGGGCGGCCGGGCTCGCTCGTGCGGGGCTTGCGCTGCGCCGCCGCCGCGGCCGCCGCGGTGACAGCTCCGGGGATGCTCCGCTCGGCCCGCTCACAACAATGCGCTCTGACGTCACGGGAATGGCGGCGCGGCCGCGCGCCCCGCCTGCTCCGCGCGCGCCCGCCGCGCGCCGCCGCCGCCGCGCTCCCAGCCACGCCCGGAAGCGCCGCCGGGCCCGGGCCGGCCTCCCCGAGCGCCGCGCGCGGCCGGCAGGGGCGAGCGCGCGCGGCGCGGGCCCGCGCTCACCTCGCGCGCGGCGGCCGCCCCCGCGGGCCCATTTCCCTCTGCCGTCCCGGGCGTCGCGGAGCGCGGGCAGCGCAGGCGCACGTGCGGCGAGGGCCGCTCCCCGAGCTGGGCTGCGCCCGTGGGGCGCGGGCTGTCCACACGTCCGCAGGCGAAGGCGCCGCACCGCTGCTCGAGCGGTCGGTCCTAGGCGCGGCCACGGCGGCGGGAAGACGGTACTTTGTTTTCGCACATCCTCTCATTTGACCCCCAACAGCGCCGTGAAACTGTCGTCCCGCTATTACACAAATGAGGAAATGAAGCCTAAAAACATCACAATCGCACCCAAGGTCTCTTGTTAAATTAGTTTTAAGATCCGAACTCGAGTCTTTCGACCCTAATCCCATGATTTTTTCCTATTACTCTAAAATTCAGTGCTTAAAAATAAATATTGGTAACTGGAAATGAGTACACGTATTGACAAACATGTCCAAGAATGAGAACGATTAAGGCGAGTCCTTGGCGAATAGTGTCAAATGACTGAAGTAATAATGTTTGATTACCTAAAGTTAAGCAGAGGCAGTTCATGGCCTTAAAGAGCTGATTGTTAATTATTTTACAATATTTACTTTATTAATTCATTAAAATAAGAAAAAGTGATGCATCAGTTTAAGGAAATAAAAGATTATCTTCACTTTTTTCCTCTGGAGCTATGCCTAGGTAAGAAGGCACCCAAGCCATTTGCATAACTCTGTCCAGGTGTGTTATATTTTTATTTTACACTTCAAATATAATGAGTTTGAATCACTTTCACATCTGCTTTTACTTTCAAGAATTCTATTATGGCTAAAATAATTGATATATTTTCTAAGTATTCTCCTTTTAATGTTTTCTCTTCCTCTCAGAAATACTTTAAGAAATCAGATCATCACATAGAACTGGTTATTTTCTGTGAAATAGTGCTTAAGTTTTGGAGCCAGGTAAAAGAAAAGAGACATACTCAGTTGCTTTACAGTAACTTGTTATTCTTTAATAACCAATTCTGGTTACAATAGAAGATAAAACATGTCCCACTTAAACAGATGTAAACCGTATATAAAAAAAACTAAAATAAAAAGCAGTTGTCTATGTACACGTTCTTTAACAGTGAGCCAAGTTTAAGTAATCGATATAATGAGGCCTCTTAGGTTCAACATCTATTTTTGGATATTGGATATAAATAGCCCACAGTAGGTAAGTCTGGCTAAAGAAGTAGTGAGTACTCGACCAGAGGCACGTGCAGATCGCGGAGCCCCAGAGCAGTGGGCCGCTGCTCCAGAGGACCTGTGGCTGTACTTAAGTTCTGCTTTTACCCCCTGCATTTCCATCCTCTTCCTATGCCTCACTCCATCTTTCTATACATGTTTGTGGTGGGAGGAGGGAATATATGAATCAGTTACAGATCTTTGGTAAATCATATAATATCCTTTTTAACAAAGGTAGGTGAAGGTCACAAGAAATATACAATAAAATTATGTGAAAGTAATGTGAAAAATAACTGCTGAGAGATTAAAGGTGGCTTTGAGAAAGATGTCATTTGACATGAGATTTGAAGGATTTGAACAGTCGGATTTGTTGAAATGTAGAGAAGCTTTTCCAAATACAAATGCAATAAAAGCACAATTTAGAACTAGGAGAATATTCAAACGGATAGATGGCATCTACCAAGTGCTGCTGGCATTCATTTAAATCTCATGTAAGATCACATGTACTCAAGATCCCTCTTTAGAGAGAAAAGGAAGAATTTACAGCACAGTTCATGCTGGAATCTGTGCTCTTTGAGCAATGCCTCTCAATTCATTTAAAGAGGGATCTTGAGTACATGTGATCTTACATGAGATTTAAATGAATGCCAGCAGCACTTAATCCTCAGGGCAATTACACAGCAATAGGGACAGCTCCAAAGTTCACTGGGCACGAGCAGCACCTTCTCTGCCTTCCTCTGTCTTCTCTATTTCCAGTTCTGCTTTTGGATTCAGACTTACGGCTGTGCATGTCTCCTTTCTTCAATTCCAGCAGATTTTTCCATCTCCTGGAAAGTTATTTTCTTTTATTTACAAGATCTTTAACAATTGGTAAACACTCAATACAGAGTAAATCCCAACAGTAACAAATGTGAATTTAAATAAAAAACAAAATCAAGATGATGACATACTGGAGAAAGATGTATGTTCCTATGAGAATCCCAAACAAAGAGAAGAGAGACTTAAGAATCTGGGGACAGAGTTGTTGTGTCATGACTGGTGACTGGTCTCTCAGGAAATACAAGGTTTCACCATGGATCCGAATTAAAGTGTTGACCAAATATGGGAAAGTTTAGGTGTTTCAGGCAGGAAGAAAGGACTGGGATTGCCTTCATTCCCTTTCCACACACTCATTGCATGTGCAAGTCTGGCATGAATGGAAGTCCCCACCCCTCCCCCACATACGCCCACCGGCAGGCAGAAGAGCGGAAGGTGGGGTGGGAAAGAGTAATAAAAGTTGGGGGAAAGAATGTAATGGAGGCAGGGTTACAGGGGAGATGGAAGAGGTATCAGGTAGTCTTGATGACCATGCAACAAGAGTTTTATTTCTGAAAGACATTATGCATAAGCTGAGAATCTCTGAATTCTACAAATAAGAACATGTAATAATCTTTTTCCTAAACAGTGAACAATTAGGATCTAACTAGTTGAGAAATTCTTTGAATGTGTTGCCTGGTCTCCTTCGCCCCTCCTCAATTCACTGAATTTCCAGCTGTAAGCAAATTACTTGTTATAATCTAAACCACAACAAATATTGAATAAAAAATAAATGGAAATTTAATAAATTGGTCCCTTATATTGTGAATACAATTCCTATCAATCAAGATTTACTCCCTTTATTCCCTCTTATAGCAAAATGACTTTTTTTTCCTTCTGTACTTCACAGATCAGTTAAGGAGTGATAGAAAAGTCAAGTGAAATAAAACCAAATACCAGCAGTATTAGTTATGTGTAGCCAGGTACTACTGAGTAAGGCTCCTAAGGGCTAATGAACTTTGACCTTGTCTTTCTTACTCTAATTCTGTATGTGCTATGCGACATACTTGTCAAGTCTCTCAATATATTCATTTAAATTCAGTCTATACGGTGAATATCAACATTAGCTGCACTCCAGGAACATACAGAAGTGTTTTAATGATATTATCTGAAACTGATCTTATCTAAACTCATGAAGATTCTGTGACTCTGTGCACCCTAACAATAGAGAAATGTGTAGCTAAAAAGAAAAAATACTTTTAAATTTTCTTCAGAACTTTTCTGTAGCTGATTGTATTGTCAGTGCATATGGTTTTTCCTTTCCAGTTGATTAGAGCTATTTTGACACACATTTTAAGTTCTCCAGTCAATTTGTATTATTACATTTCAGTGCACTAATTAAAAAATAAAAATTTTCATGTTACATCTGGACCATTTACCAGCTAAAGCATTCTTAAATCTGAGAAGTTGAATAAAGTGGCTAAAATATTTTCATACTTTTCTTCTTTTTCTCTTAAATTGCTATTTTTCTGTTTTATCTACCTCCTTCCTTTGTGAAATAACCAACTCTTCTTCTGAGTAGAGCCCTTCATTCAAGAATTTACCTTTTCCCCCTTTAAGCCCTTAATTAGGCATAGAGAACACAGTCTGATTTATGGCCTAGTGTTTAATAGGACTCACACTTAATCCATTACACAAAGAGGGATACACATATTCCCTAACAGCACCACTCATTAGTTTATACAAAATGAAAAAACACTTAGGAAATGTAAATAAAGCTTTGCTTGATACTATCTTCTTATGCATGTAACGTGATCAGAATATCAACACTGCAGCCTAACAGCTTTTTGCTTATTTTCAGAACTACAAATTAGATTTCGCTAGGTAAACTCTAATTTAATCTCACATTTAGTGGATAAGAAGGAAAATTACATGCTGCTCAATTTATCTTTGTGTGGAATGTCCTACGCTCACAAAGGAGACTCTAATTCAGACTGTAATTCAAGGGACTGCTTGCCTCAGGTTCCATGTTGACCAAAAGAGTGACTTTGGTGACTGAGACTCCCAAAAAAGAGCTTAAGAATGATACCAAGTAATTTATGCCAGCACTACTGCTATTTTAAGTTGCATAGTGAGGTGCCTAAAGTATATGCTGTGGGCACTAATCTAGTAGGGGACTCCCTCTCCATGCCATGCAAGCACTAATGGCTCAAAGGGAGATACAGGGCCTTTCTGCAACTTTTACAAGAATGGATTCAAGTGGTGGGAAGATGCGGCTCCTTTTGTAACTGAAGAATTCTTACTGCTTTCCCGTTGGAGTTTTATTGCAGGAGACACAGCTGATCATCTCAGCCAACACACTTCCAGTAACCATGGGGTGACATGATTGATTAGCCAAATAGCAGGAATAACTGGAAGATTTCTTAGGAGCCCATTGTAGCCAAGGAAATGCCATCTAGTTGTGGCTTATGTGATGAAAGAAAAGAAGTTGGTGTGTGTGTGTGCGTGTGTGTGAGTGTGCATGCTTGCATGCATGTGTGTGTTTGCAGGAATTGCCACCTCCACTCAGAGATCCACCTAGCAGTGGAAAAGGACAGCAGGACTATATTTCAGAAAAGAGAAGAACGGCCCTGCCATATCTACAATCTCCAGGATTTTCATAATCCCAGCGAGGTTTGGGGTGGGGATGGAGCTAAACATACTTACATTTTGTATAAAAA